ACACACACACACACACACACACACACACACACACACACGGAGGAACCCTGAATGCTTCTGCTTTGGTGCAAGCAGCGTGGGGCAAGCAAGCCACACAGTTGGGAGGTAAGGAGAGTCCAAGGCCAGGGTAGTGAGCCAAGGCAAGGTGGGCTTGAATTGTGAGGGTCTCCAGGACCCAAGTGGCGAGATGGGGCGCTCCGACAGCCAGCGACCCGAGTAGCCCACATCACTCCTCTTAGCAACGGAAGCTTGTGCCCTGGGCCCCTTGTACCTGGACCCCCACTAATAATGACAATCTCTCGGGTTGGCAGAGTGTGGACTTCTCCCGGGCTCACAGCTCCAAGGGATAGAGCCATTAGTGCCTGGTCCCACAGGTGAGGGTGTTAAGGCTTAGGAAGGAACAGCTGTGTTTCATGGCGTGTAAACTATACTTCAATAAAGCTGTTTAAAAAGAAAGAAGCAGCTGCTCAAGGTAATAGGATTACAAAGGCGCCCAGGCAGGATTCGAACTCGGGGCTCACCGACTCCAGAGGCAAGCTTCCGGGCTCCGCCACCCAGTGCTGCCGCCCCACAGCCTCAGAGGTCGTGAGCTGGTGCCGTCTTTAAGACCCGGCTTGCGCAGCTCCCCGATTCCAAAGGAACAGGCGGGGCCTCCATCTGGCCTTGGCACACGACACAGGCCGTGGCGAGAATGTTCTTCCCGCACACCTGAGCGTGCCCCAGAGAGCCCAGCCAGGGGTCTTTCTTGCCCCCAGATCCCAGCCCCCAGAAAGGTCCTGAGTCTCCCCAACGTGCCTCCCAACAGGTGCTTCAGCTCCTTGGCCAGAGTCCAGCTGGGCCTGTGAACCTCTGACCCAGATGTTTCCCCCTCCTGCCAATGTCAAGCTGTCTGGAGGGCAGGGGTTGCTGGGCAGGAAAAGCTGCTCGAGACCCCTAATCCTTGCCCGCAGAGCGTGGTGGGAGAAAGGCTCCAAAGCAAAAAGCCTTCAGGGCGGGTTTTATTGCGGCTCTAATTAAGCCCTTGCCAATTTGGGTCCTGCAGCCTCTTCTCCTCATTGAGCACCATATTAATGTCAATTTGATGTCCAAAGGCTCCCAGCTCCCAGCTGGAAATTCTCCTGCACTTTTTAGCTGGTAGATTTTCTTTTTCTCCCCACCAACCGGCATCGCGCGTAATCCCTTTAAGAAGCGGAAAGAATCCGATTTCTCCCCTGTCCCTCTGGGTTTGTCCTTTGAAATTCAGCGCACAGAGCAGTGCTTTGCCTTCGACAGCCCAGCCCGCTTCCCCTGCTCTGTGTCCTGTCAGTCTTGGAGATAGGCTCTGTGGCACTGGGGGCTGACTCACATGGGGGTCCCTGGTGAAAGTGGGTCCTAACCGTGGGTTGGGGGGGTAGGCCAGATGGTGGAGGGGCTCTGGTCCCCGCATTGGTATTGGACAGGAAGCCTTCAAGGACCCTTCTGGACACGTTGGATGACACATGTCCCCCTTTACAGTCATTAGCCAGGGACTTCAGCACAGAGAGGTCTGGGCCCAGACACAGGACCAGATCCAGGTCTACCCTCAGTAGGAACAGGGACAACACAGGGAGAGCAGAAAAGTCATATAAATCAGGTGTTCCACCAAGGAAAGGACAGCCCAAAGCATGCTGATTCTCAGGCTCTCCCCACTCCCCTTATCTGGCTTCAAGTCCACGTGTGCCCTCCACAGGCTGCAGTAAAGTAGATGCTGTCTCTTCAGTAGATTTGGACCCAGTTCTATTTGGCCAGTGTAGACAGAGCCGCTTCTTACTGTGCTGCTGCTGCTAAGGGTGTGTGATGCCTCAGTGTGTCTCCACGACCCCCCAGCCCCACCTTGTCACATAACTGAGTTTCTTCTCTTCTTTCCCCCAAGAGTGGATCAGGTCATCTACCGCTGCCCCCCTTGGGGAGAGCTCCCCCTGGCCCCAGACGCCCTCCAGTGCAGAAGGTATGGGGGGAGGGTCTGCACGGGCATTAGACCCCCCACCCCCCGCCCCAGACAGCTCCTTAGACCGCGGGCCCCTCCCTCTTTAGTGGAGGTAGCAGGTGGGACTGGGGTGGGAGGGGGCCCACGGGAGCTGGGGGGGGGCTTGGAGCTCTACCTGTCCCCACCCCAACTCTCACCTTCTTAGAGATGCCCAGTGTGATATCGCCAGGCCCAACTCCCATGAATCCTTCACTCCCCCCAAGGGCTTTGGAGCCAAGTGGAGACTCTGCCCTGATAGCAGGAACCCTGTCCTGCCACTGTCAGCCACAGGACACCGGGGGGCAGAGATGGAGCCCAGAGTCAGTCAGGACTTCTGCAGGAGCTGGGCGGCAGTCAGACTGAGACCGTGGGGCTGGCTATGGGCAGATGAAAGAAGACAGTGCATTCCAGGTGCAGGACCAGCTAGGGCAGAGGCTTGATGGTGGGGTGGCAGTGAGCAGGGCAGGGGGCATCGTACAAGGTACTGATACCTAGCCCGGAGCCTCAGTCTCCCACGGCGGCAGGAGGAGACACACGTGGGCTCGTTGTAGCCAGAGACGGACATGCACAGGAAGCACACAGGGCCTTGTCTGACTCTCCGGGAAGGGAGGTTGTTTCCATCCCAGCTCACCCGCTCCCTGGACATTAGTCCTAATGCCTGCTTGGACAACAACCCCAGCCCCACACCTCGGGCCCCTCCGTGAGCAGTGAGCGGGGTTCTCAGCGCCCTCTGCTGGCAGGCACTTCTGGAACTGGACCCACAATTGCTGAGGGTCTCGAGTTGGGTGTCCTCCCTGGTGATGGAGCCTCTGGAACCATCTCTCCCCTGCCCTGGACCGACTAGGGCACCACAGGCTCCCAGAGGGACACCAAGCCCACTCTGCTGCCCGGACAGTGTCATGCTCACTCATAAAGGTGGGGCCAGGCCCCGGTGGGTTCTGACGTGGAAGGCAGGCGCAGTCTGTTCTCGTGGCTCACAACACCGGCAAGCAGGGAATCTGTGAATAGTAAAGGACTCACTTTGGCTGGAGCAGCGGGGGACGCTTCAGAAAGGGAGAAGCCAAAGCCTTGGACGCCAGGTCCATGCTCTGGATTTGATGCTCACGGGAGTTTGGAGAGGAGAAGGGAGAGCAAAGTGACGTCTGCAGTCATTACCAAAAAAAAAAAAAAAAAAAATCACTCCGTTTCAGCAAAGCACCTTGCATGCTGTCAGGGGATGCTGGGGTTAGAGAAGTAATTTGGGAGAATTAATCTAGCTGAGTGTGTTAAGTGGTCTCCAAAGGGGGCACCAAAGGCAGGGCAGTTTCTGCATGCTCCTGGATGTGCTGTGTCCCCTCACAACTGAGCAGGTGACAAGGCTGCCCCGGAGCATGCCCAGGGCACGGTGGAAGCCTTTGTTGGGCCTTCCCTGGGCCCGGACAGCCCGCTCTGGGCAGCTGGACCATGGCGACAAAGTTTATTTCTCATCTCTCCAAGCTGTGGGCACCTCCGCCACTGCCCTTGCCCCTGCCCCGGCCTCCAAACCTTTCCAGCTCAAGCCCAAATCGGCTCAAGTGGTGCCCATTGAAGAGTTCCAAGGTAAGAGGAAGGCCCCGGGCCGGACCAGCCCCCCTCCAGCACCTCTACCCTCACCTCCGCTGGAAAGCAATGATGCAGGACGGAGGACCCACGCCTGGCTCAGAAAACCCTCCCGGAGTAGCTGGGTCAAGGTGAAACTGAGCCTCTCTTCCCTCAGTTCTTCCTCCCCAAGGGAGCTGGGAGCAGGTATGAGTCAGAAGCACAGTGGGCAGGCCCGGGGTAGGCAGAGCAGCAACCAGAAATAGCCTGTCCTGGCCCCCCTGGGAGGTGTGGCCCAGGGGGGCTCGTCTCGGTTGAAGCAAGAGCTGGGACACGGAGGTCACTGCCACTACTCCTTGAGACATTTGGATGCCTCACCTTCTCATTGTTCCTGGAGGGACAGGTGAAGGGGGCAGGTCCAGGAGGCCCAAGGTGTGGCATGCCCGCTGTCTCCTCCTGGGCACAGCTCCGAGGCTCGTTTCTCCAAGGTCTCTCATGCCCTTGACCACCAAGGCCTCGTCAATTCCTTCCTCTCCCATCACAAAGGGAGGTTGGGTCCTCTAGAGATACACAGATGGCGTTTCGGGAGGGTGGCCAGCGTCCTTCCTGTTCAAGGGCAGCCACATTGACTTTCCTGTTCAAGGAGATGTTCAGCCCCTTAGGAGGGACACCAAGGGATGGCCGCCTTCGTGGAGGCAGGGAGTGAAGCCCCAATGCCTTCAGGATGGCTTCCCTGGCCGTCATGGGACTCCCCCAGTCCCTGGAGCTGGGGCGGGGCGGGGGGGGGTGGCTGCAGGGGACAGCGGGACGGCACAGAGACCCCTGTCCTCGGCGTGGAGCCAGAGCCGTGTGTGGGCAGTAAGAGTCAGAAGCCAGGCCAAGACGATCAGGAGGCAAAACGAGATGCCCGGGGCACAGACCCTAAGATGGCATTCATTCTCAGGGTTGTGCAAGAGGAGGCCCTCTGGTGCCAATCAAATTTGCAGAACAGCTCAGACTAATAATAAAAGGTCCAGCAGGTGGGCGTTTTCCTTCCCAGCATCTTCCAAAGCAGCATGTGGAGGAAGCTCCTGGCCCATTCCATCTGCCCAGCACCCGTGCATGCATCTATCCTTCACTGAGTCACTGGGGGTACAGTGGTGAGCGCCATGACCCCAGGCACTGTCCTTCCTGAGTTCACACTGGCCGCATGACCCATCCTCCCTGCATGAATCATTTCCCATCGCCCCGGCATCGCGCAGGCATCCTTCGGAGAGCACGTCACCCTGGCACCCCGCCAGGCAGGGGCTGTCCACTGGCCCTCCCAGGGTTCCTGTCCCCAGGGCCACGTGGGAACTTGGGGGCTGGGCCTACACTGGTCCCCGCTCCAGCTCAAAGGTGGCACGCCTGCCTCCTCCCAGATGGTACAGAAGTGTTGGAGGCCCGTGGCACCTTCCCTGCATGTCCTGGGGCTGGTCTGTCCTCGCCCCGTGCCTCAGTTTCCCCCAATACACGGTGCAGGGGGTGGCAGGAAGGCACAGTCTGCCTTGGCTCACTGACCCGTGGTGTTTCTCACGCTCGGCCGGCCCAGACTGTGAGTGCTATGGCCACTCCAACCGCTGCAGCTACATCGACTTCCTAAACGTGGTGACCTGCGTCAGCTGCAAGCACAACACGCGAGGCCAGCACTGCCAGCACTGCCGTCTGGGCTACTACCGCAACGGCTCCGCCGAGCTGGACGACGAGAACGTGTGCATAGGTGAGGCGCCCGGACTGGGCGCGGGGGCGGGGCTGGGCGCGGGCGCCGGGAGCGGGGCGTGGGCGCCGGGGGCGGGGCGCAGTCCGGAGACCCTGGAGTCATCAGGCCCCGGGGAACCCCAGGGGGAATTTCATTTCCGGGGCCCATTTCAGCTGGGCGTCTCGAAGGACAGAATCTTCTGGAATCTGCTCTATTAATAACCTCCCCCTTCGGTCATCCCCACAGACGCTGGGAATTCAGAGCCACTAGTTAGAGTCAAAGACTGGTTCTAGAGCTTGCTGTGTGCCTCAGTTTCCCCACTTGTAAAATGGGGAAGTGGATTAGATCAAAGGTTTTCAACTCCTTTTTTGTGGCTGAAGCTTTTCTTCCAGTGAAGTTCTTCTAATGCTTTATAAGCAGAGGCCCAGCTTGTAAGACCCAGTGGGCACTCGGACTGGCTTTGGGGTAGAGAAGCAATCCGGGGGGGCCCTGGACCCGGGCCGGAGCTGGCCATCCCGAAAGGCCAAACCCATGGCCTCGGCCAACACCCACCAGCCTGGAAGGGCTGCCCACCACCCCTGCCTCTGTCTCCGGTGGAGGTCAAAGCTCAGCCCTAGGGTGCCCAACCCCCTTGGCACCCCACTGCCCATCCTCCACCCACCAGGTCAGCTCTGACTTCACAGAGGAGGGGCTGCCCACAAGGCTGCAGCTGTCCGTCTGATCACGGCATCGGCCTTCAGATAATTCCATCAACTCTAAAGTGAACCAAACAGAACTGTGCTGCCCATGTCACACCAGCTAGCTGCAGGGACAGGGTGGGGCCTCCGGATCCGAGTAGAGGCATTCCCGCCTCCCAATATCCTTTTTCTTTCCTTGCCTCTCTCTGCCTCCTAACCTGGGCCCAGCTCTGGGCTCCAAGGAGTCCCAGAGTGGGGACACTTGCCCCCTCCCACACAGCAGAGGCCCCAGGAAACCAGCTGGGAAGGGGTTAGGGAGAAGCTGGAGGCTTCTGGGCTGCTCCTCCACCCGCCCTGGAGAGGAGATGCAGATGCGGACTACTGCCCCACCCTCCGCCCAGATGCCCCGCCTCTGATGAAGCTCCTCCCAACTGTCAATAATCTTACAGCCCTTTGGAGCTGGGAAGGATCCGCGCTGCCTCCAGTTACACAGACCGAGACTGAGGTCCAGAGAGGGGTTGGGGCGGCCCTAGGCCACAGAGCGCCGGGGCCAGGGAGAGGGAGGGGGTAATGGATGCTAGAGAACCAAGACAGTACAGTCTTCCCTCGATATGTGGACCCTCGGGCAGCCGTGGGCTCACGTGGACATGGTGTGGGGTGCATCACCGGGGGATTGCGGGGAGCCTGCTGGAGGGATGAGGGGCCGGGCGGGGTGGGGGTCCGTGCAGAGGATGCCCACAGGCCGCCCTGACCGCACGCCCTGCACGTGTCCGTCCAGAGTGTAACTGCAACCAGATCGGCTCCGTGCACGACCGGTGCAACGAGACCGGCTTCTGCGAGTGCCGCGAGGGCGCAGCGGGACCCAAGTGCGACGACTGCCTCCCCACGCACTATTGGCGCCAGGGCTGCTACCGTGAGTGCGCGCCCGGCGGGCGGAGCCTGCTGCTGCGGGGCGGGGCACGGGGCGGGGGCTGGCGCCGCCAGAGGCGGGGCTGGGGTCGTGGGTGGAGCGACGGGCGGGCGAGGGGGCGGGGCCGGGACTGTGGGCGGGGACAGGCGCCGCCAGAGGCGGGGCTTTGGGTCGTGGGTGGGGCCAGGGGCGGGATCCGGGGCGGTGGGCGGGGCCTGATGCGACAGGAATTTAGGGCTGGTGCCAGGTGGGAACCAGGAGGCGGCGGATCTGGGGGTTGGTTGAGAAGGGAGCTGGAGGCAAAGGTGGAGCTGGCGGTTGGTGGGATTTGGCTGACGAGGGCAGGTTTGCGGAGAAGGAGGATGGGGGGAGGAAGGGAGGCTGTCCGAGGAAATGATGGCCTGGCGAGACAGAAAGGACGAGTGGTCGCTAGCCTCTGGAGGAGGGTGGAAGGGCGCTCCAGGCACATGGACTAGCAGGTGCAAAGCTCCAGAGAAGAGAGCGCAGGTGCGTCCCCAACGCCAGTGGGCCGGGAGCGGGGAGAGCCAGGGGCAGTGGCGGGAAAAAAGACAGGGGCCAGGTCTCGCCCGGCCACTGTCCCCATCCACGCAGGGGCGTTTCGCACCAAGTGCGCCCTGAGCCTCCAGCATCCCTCGGTCCGTCTCAGTCGCAGAAGCTCCAGCGAGGGGGGTGGACTGGGCCACCGCCCGCGTTAACTGCCCCTCCGCCCTGCAGCCAACGTGTGCGACGACGATCAGCTGCTCTGCCAGAACGGCGGCACCTGCGTGCAGAACCAGCGCTGCGCCTGCCCGAGCGGCTACACAGGCGTGCGCTGCGAGCAGCCCCGCTGCGACCCCGCCGCGGAGGACGGCGGCCTGGACTGCGACCGCGCGCCCGGGGCCGCCCCGCGCCCCGCCACCCTGCTCGGCTGCCTGCTGCTGCTGGGGCTGGCCGCCCGCCTGGGCTGCTGAGCGCGGCCCGGAAGACCCTGCGCCCGGGGGCCCGGGGGGCTCGGGGGTTCGGGGGTTCGGGGGCCGGCGTCCGAGGCCGGGCGGCGAGAAGGGTGCGGCCCGAGCTGCTCCCAGGTGCTACTCAGCAGAGTCCTCCCGCCTCCCCCCGCCGCGGTCCGTGGCCCCCGCCCCCGCCCCGGCACTGCCCTCCGCCGCCGCAGGGGGCGCTGTGCGGCTCTGGCCCCAGCAGCCTGCGATTTGGGTCTTTTTTTTTTTTTTTTTTTCCCCCCCCCCCCCCCCCCTTTTTTTTTTTTTTTTTTTTGCTGGCGGTGAGACGGGGGGTGGGGAGAAACGCCGCTCACCTCAACACCTCCAGGTCCCGCCTCCCAACACATACACACACATACACACACACATACACACACACACACACACACACACACACACACGCACGCACGCGACTGTCAAGGACACCCCCTGCACCTGTCCCTGGCTTACCACCGGCCTGCGGACCCGGAGGTCCAGTTGCCTACAACTCTCCTTTCTTTGTTTTCCTTTGCGACCCACCGGACTCCGTGAGGCCTGGTGACCAAGGAACTCACCGTCTGGGGGAGGGAGTTGGGAAGGAGGATTGGGAGGGCTGGAAACTGTTTTGTAGAGAACTATTTTTGTTTGTATTAACCGTCCCCTGTAAGGAGGACATGAGCCGCTACAGGTGGTTGATGGTGTATTATCCGACGGAGTGAGTAAAGAGTCAACGGAGTAAAGAGTCTGCTCACTGCTGCCTCCGGGGCCTGTTTTCTGTGTTCATTTACACCCCGCGGGTTTGGAGTTTAAAGAGGAGCCCACAAAGTAGCCTTGGAGAAACTTTCACCGGTGAGGGCCACCACTTCCCCAGGTCTGTGAGTGAGATTGGGCAGCCCTCCTCCTGGCAGGTGTGATTAGCAGAGCCCTCTAAGCCCTTGGTAGGGGGTACCCACATGTTAGCAGCCTCCCCAGACTGTTGCCTCCCTCCTGTCTCTTAAAAAAAAGAAAATGCAAAGTTTATTGGCACTTTTCCTCAGCTGTCCTTGAATTTAAAAGCACATGGTGGACACTGGTATCATTGCTGAGAGGTCCAAGGGAACTGACTGGTGATTTACAAGTCGGGATGGATGTGTCTCTCAGACCTGGGGGACCCCCAGCCTCGGGCCCAGTGTCTGGAATCCCTAGATGGAATGCACAGCCCACCACCGTCTCCTTCTCCTTTCCCTCCCAAAGATCACACCGGGGGTGGCCACGGAGACCCAGGGGCGGCCTGGGAGTTGCGAGAGGACACTCTGAAGAATGGGGTCTATCAGCTGAGGCCCCGTGCCATGGGAGGGTCCCCTGCGTCTCTCCTGCCCTTGGGTACTCATATTCCCCCACCACCACCACCACTTACTCTGGAAGGTCCAGGTTTCTCCCAAAGATTCTCAGCCCCATGGGTCAGTTCTGGCTCCTAGCTGCTCCTACG